AAACTTGATATCTCACTCCAATCACTGGTGCCGACAGTGTTTATGGCACGCAAGCGGAAACGGTAAGCAGTGCCTGGCTCAAGACAAACGCGTTGAATTGTTGAAAGATCTGGCAAGTTTTTAGACGTCAGTTTCAAACCGGAAGATGACCAAATGGTATTGTCTATGAACGATGATACCGTTGCGTTAAGTCCAGTGTAGATTCCCACCGTATGCCATTTGGCATCTTCCTCATCTATGGGTGGCCCTGCAGTAGTTGGTGTTGGTGCTTCGTTTTCTCCTGATGGTGCATTACCAGCTGAAGACGGAAGCGGCGGTGGCATGTCGGTGCTTGATGAAACACCATTATGCTGGTCGCCTGGTTGTCCATTTATGTTTGTATTTTCGTTAACGTTTCCATTTTCATTTGACTCTTCGGGTTGAGAAGCTCGGGGTTCAGTGCCGGCCGTATTCTCATTATTAGCATCCGTATTAACGGTAGCTGGTTCATTCGCAGCGCCGGCACCCACCGACGCTGGAGTCTCATTGGGTTCATCCGTCTCCATTAAAGAGGGTGCATCCGTCGGAGTTTCAGATTCATTACCCGATGCTGATGTTTCCATCGACTCCATTATCTGTAATTTAATTATTAGAAAATTCACAAATGGTAATTACATCTTGTATACTAGATACCCACCAATTGTTTGTGCCTCTATACTGTAGAGGTTTACTGCGATATAAGTATATGAAAATAACAAAATTGACCAAAGTATAATTTGTGCACACACCTTAAGCACAATGAAAGTTATTAATTGTTTGGAAAAGCCCAAAAATACATATTAATATTAATATCTAGATTTTAACCTGCAATTGTGAAAAATCAGCAATTTGTGGCGAACGCGATTAGGGATGAAATGATACGAGTAGAGGTGGGTAACTCAACTCAGAGTTGAGTTATTGAGTTGATTCCTATAAGTGAATCGGTAACTCAGATTCCCTGTCCAAAAAAAATGTAACTCAGTAACTCAATTGTTCCCGTAGGGCTCACATGAATCAATTGAATCATAGTGGCTCATATTTGTCCATATAACTCTCTCGCTTCGCCACAGTGTTTAGCATGGCAAAGTCTTGCATTTTGTTTTTGCACGAGGCGAATTTATACAAGGTGGTGGCAAGAATACAACAACAACAACCACATGTATTTTGTATTGCGGATGTTATGTCAAATCTCACAAATTCTTATAATTTCGTTTTTTTTTTAGTTTTTCTCGAAATATGTATGTATGTAAGATATATAAAGATGTGCATATCAAATCAATTGCCTTTCCAACCATATCCACATTTTGAAATTCGGTACAATAGGTTTCGAAATATAAGCTTTTGAAAATATTGAAAATTCCACCTTTACCCTCCCCCTAGCACCGCCCTATTAATTTGCACACAAAAAAAATTACACCTTTCAAATCAGTAGAAAGGAGCTGACCACGCCCACTTTAAAGTTTTGTTTTATCTCAACGGCCGCTATACCGCATCTATGCCTCAAAACGAGTCTACGATACGAATGAGTGTAACATACAAAGGCCCCTATTGCGAGTGTCGACTGGCAGTAGAATAGAAATTTGTCGATCGAGTCGATCATCTTTTATTTTGCTATTGTGTAACTTGATCGATAAAAATTTGTACTATTGTGAATGGTTGACGGAATTGTAAACAGCTGTTTGTTTGTATACATTTGTTTCTTCAGTGTTTCATTTACATAATTTTTAAAATAATTGTTTTTATTATCAAATTTAAAAAATGGACACAGTTGAAATATGGTTTAGTGATGAGGAAGATGATGTGGAAGCTAATAGAGTAGTAGAGTTGGCTAAAGCAAGGAGGGAATTGCGAGATTAATCGGATCCCTTGGAGTTGGAAGACGAAGTGTATGCACATATGTGAATTTTATGATTAGAAGTTGCGTTCCCGATGCTTCACGGTTTTTAGTTTTCACAGAATTTGCAGGAAAAGCAGTTTTCCTCATAATAAACTTCATGGAAGTTTAAGAAATACGGTACCGTTTAGTTATTTGTACAATGATATTGAGTATTGATTGTCCAAACGCGTGACCCGAGTTTTAAAACTTTAACATAAAAGTGTAGTGAAAGAATTAAACTTTAATTTAAAATAAAGATTTAAAATTTGCGAGCACTAGTTAATTAATAAATTATGCAGTTTTTTGTAAACTTTGATGTTGGTTCTGCGCAATAACACTGTGGATGGCGTAGCCGGAGTTATATGCACAAGAAATATTGTATATCTTTCACAAAAGAAGCGGAGCTTCCTCCCCTACTCTTTCCGGAAATTCCTTTGCCTATGTGAGGACTCTCCTGCTCGACCAACCGCGCAAGTTGCCTTTTGTTGCTTACAATTTTTGATCTGTAATTCAGACACATATGTACATACATATGTATATTTCACAATTTTTTACAACTTCCAATTCAATTTATCCATTATAGTACCACTTTCTTATGTAAATTTTATAAACGCAAACTTCAACGACTAAAAAACAGCAATAGAAGGATGATCGATTAAAATGTATTCACAGTCGCTAATTGAGCGACTAAGCGACACTCACAATAGCATCGATAATCGATAATCGCTTAATAGTCGTTTATCTACTGCCAGTCGACACTCGCAATAGGGGTGAAAGAGTCAAATGAGTTAGTTGAATGAGCTGACTCCTTAAAGTGAGTTGGAGTCATTGAGTCAACTCCTATAAATTTGCTGAGTTACCCACCCTTAGATACGAGTAAATAGAGCTGGGTAACAAGCGATGGCACTGTCGGTAGCATCGATGTTTTAAAATTTTACCCACAATCGATGTTTTTCCTGCTGTTGTCGATAGTTTTTCTCGCATACACAATGGAATATTATACATTTTTTGCTATATTACTGAATCCATCGTAAGTTGGATTTACGAATAAGGTCTAAGTTGCAAATGACTAAAAATTACTGTTGATTGTTTAAATTTTTTTGTAACGGTTTTATTCGGTAATTTTCTAGGGTGGGGTAACAACCCCTAAAAAAGGTGCGGAAAAGTCGGGAGGGGTACCAAACGACGCGTTTCGGCCCCCCTAATAACAATCCGTAGGGGGGGAAGATAATATTATTAACCATTTAAAAGTTATGAACAAAAAACTTTTGTTAAATTTCGTTGTTTTCTATGGGCAATTACACCGACAAAAATTCACTAAATCACCTGTTCTCACTTTTTAAACACTATTAAAATATATAATTTAACTTATTTATTAAAGAAACACATATGGGGTGTTCACAGTTCGTTCCAAATAGTGTCTCAAAATGTAGACGTCTACATTTTAAGACGTTTTCTAACCGTAAAATCTGTGGTGTTGTTGTTTCCCATACAAAATTGGAAAACGACGCCGTCTACATTTTGTCACACTCAAAGGTATGATTTTTACGCGTCTACATTTTGCAACCTCGCAGCAGGGTTGCATTATGGCAATACTAATCACATTTTTTTTATATATTGGGCACGTTTTCTGTATTTGCATTTAATTTGAGCGCAATTTCTGATGAAAAAAAACAAATCAAGGAAAAGAAATAACAAATATTACGAATTGGTAATTAAGTTAAATAATTTCAATTTTTCGGAAACAAAATCGAAAGGCGACATAAAAAATGCACGCAAGGAAAAATGTCTGGCAACACCAGCAAAGTTTTGAGACGATTTTGCGACGACTGCTAGAAAGGGGTGCTCACAGTTTGATGCTAAAGATGTCTCAAAATGTAGACGTCTACATTTTCAGACACAATTTGGAACGAACTGTGAACACCCCAATAGTTTTATCAACCTAAGATTATTTTGTTATTAAAAAGAAGTTGACAATCTTTGCCAGCTGAAACGCGAGATTCCAAAATAGCTATAGTGCTGCCACTGTATTAGTATTTCGTAATAATTCACTTTTCCTTATGAGTGCACTGTTCAGTGCTTTTCGGTATCTTCTTTCGTTTAATATATATATAAATAATGAAAATTTTTAATAAAAAATCGCGCGATTTTTTATTAAAAATTTTCGCCTCCGTCGCTTTTTCCATAAAAATCAATACTTCGATAAATAATGAAAATTTTTAATAAAAAATCACGCGATTTTTTATTACAAATTTTCGCCTGCGGCGCTTTTTCCATAAAAATCAATACTTCGATAAATATTGAAAATTTTTAATAAAAAATC